AGGCATGGCTCAGAACAAATGGCTTGCAAAAGTTCCTTTTTCCTCTTTGCTGGATTAGAAGGAAGCTGAGCCTCAACACCTAAAAGCCTGTAATGAAAACTTTTAATTATTATACTCTTTCTGGTATGTGCATCTAGTTCAATTTTTTTTTTCCAGTGCTCTTCCAAAGAAAATGGTAAAAAGGAGATGCTGAACTTAGCAATTGCTAGTTTTGTAATTCCAGGAGATGCTGGGTTTCCACTGAATGCCATGTACTCAAAACCAAGCAGTAAAGCTGAAGCAGGTACCATAATTCAAATTTTTGTCCTGTCACATTGTCTATGCTCTGTGGAAAAGATTGATTTTTAATAGAATACTTATGCCCCTGGGTTGACTTCAAGTTTTGGCTTCTGCAGCTTTGATAATTATTCTTGTTACTTTGGGCCTGATGTGGTATTTCTGTTATTTTTAACTAAAATTTTCATCTTTTAAGATGAGAGTGATCACAGTTAGGAAACTCTCTTCTTCAATTAGAAATCTGCAGTTCAGATATATGAAATTCATATATTCACAGTAGTACCATGTTGTTTTAAGATTCTACTAGGGCATACTTGACCCAGTTGAGGCAGGAACTTGGCCAGAGACTTCTGGAATCTGTGTTTGATCCACAGACAGATAAACCATCCAAGGTATGTTTAGTTTATTGCATCATTTTAGTATCATGGTGACCATGAATGTATTTACTTAGTCAAAGCTCTATGCTTGCAAGTTTGTGTTCTAAGGCATGACTATGAAGAGGTCGGTAGAATTTATAATAAACTTGGGAAGACTCTGAACATCCATGCCTGGAAAAATCTGGGAAATGTCCGAAAAGGAAAAGATCCCTGAACAATCCTTTTAATTATAGATCGTGGAAAACATTAAAAAAACCTTGAAATGTATGTGAAAGATGGTAACAGACTGACATGTTGTCCACGTCTTTGTACTGTACTCTACCAGGATTTCTTAGTTTTCCATTTTTAAACTTTATTAAAACTCATTTGAATCTTTTATTTTTAGTGGTGGATGTGTTTTGTGAAGAGAAAGTTCATGGACAAGAGTCTGTCAGCTCCTGGGCAGTAGTAGTGCAAAGGTATGTTTTATGAATTGTGCATGCAAAATGTGCTGATCATTAACTCTTTGACCCCAAAGAGCAACTCGCATCTAATTTCTCCGTACAACATCACCCATGAATCACCCATTGAGGTCATCAGGATAAAGGAAATGATCACCAACTTTAGAACCTCTCAATTTTTAAATCAAATTTTGTTGTCAGTACCTTAACTAATGTATAAAGAACAGCGTGGAGAATATGTAATTTAATGTTAGGGAATAAAGGGTTAATTGGATGTTGTGCACAACTTGAAGAGAACTGAATACATCATAGATGAGCTGCAGTATAAGTCGTGAGAGCTGAAGGATGCCCAACCCTTTGCTACCTTCATGCTCTGTTCCGTTTTGTTACTCTACCACTCATTTTATTGCATTTATCCAGGCTCTAGCATGGATTGCTTTTAAAAATACACTTAACAGGATAACTGGTATATTATCCCGTTAACATCACAGTAAGAAACACAATGAAGAACCCATATCTGTAGAGTCTTCATAATTATTAATTTAATTTTGCCCTTTCAGATTGTGAGGATCCTGGAATGGGAACAGCAGTAACTTGTAAAGATGAAAAAAAGTGGAATTTGTTAATTTTCATGTTCAAAATAAAGCCTTTTATACTGAAATTGATTGTGTACATGTTTTTTGCTTGTTGTTGTTGTTGTTGTTTTTTTTCTATATGCAGATGTGACTAATTCTCTGGTGCTCCCTTCCAGAGACACCTGACTCATCCACTCAGGGTATAGTAGAATCGATGAAATTATGTTTAACAATGGGACTTGATAAATGGTGAACCAAAAGGCAGTGTATATAAGAGGTTAAGGCAAAAGCCTGTCTGACAGTCTACAGGAATGGCATTTCTTGAAAATCATTTTGGAATCATCACTGACTGTGATTTTGCCAAGGTTACCTAAAAAATAAATATGACAAAGCCTTTTTTGTTCCCCAATTAGATGGCCTCCTCCTTTTTGGGTTTCACCAGTAAGGTCAAAAGATACACATGGCATTGAGAGATCAAAATTCTTCAGCCTCTCCCCTTCCCTTGCCAAAAAAAGAGATACATTAAAATAATCATTCCAAAAAAAAAATTAAAGAGTTGTAGGTGTATTATAAATATTAGAAGCATTACAAACATTCTTAAAAAAAACACAAGTACTATTGTCATCCATTTCTACCCCAATTTTACCAAAAATCTGTGTGGATTAATTACTGTCATAGCATCATTTTCAGTTATGTAGCACCAACACAATTTATTTATTAATACCAAATCCTTTCTGCTGACATAAATTGATATCAACTAAAACATTGCAAAGTTCTAAAAGCAGGGACGGAGTTGTTTGGGGTCGAGAGAGAGCATTGGTGTCTGAGTTCATAGCCATTTATAACATCTAATTGAAGCACCATTTTATTAAGTAGTTACTCTTCACACTGAAATGGAATTAATAAATAGCATTTGAAGTTAAATTGGGTTAAATTACTTCAGTGTTTAAAAAATGGCTGCAAAAGAAAATGTCTACAAGTCTTATAAATTTACTGCACCTTTGAGGCTTGGGTAGGATTTGCACAGTTATTGGATTTTTGAAAAAGTTTTTACATTCATAGAGAGTATGGACAGAGACTACCTCAATTAATTTTCACACCTTGACATCAACACTGTGCCACACAATTGACAACTAAATGATTTTACAGTTATAGAAATTGACTGCATTAAACTAAACCCACACCAAGAGGGTTAAACTATGCCAAAAAATTAAAATATACATTGTCACATATATATTAAAACTTGTATTTTTGCTCTTCTGTAGTCGCTTTGTAGTTCTCAATAAGTCTAATCTTTCACAGCTCTGGTCAGAGTAACACCTATTCAGTGTCATTTAAAAATTAGTCATTCTTTGTATGTGCAAGTGAAAATTTTGTAACGTATATGTACTTCTGTTTACTTGTGTGTAGTCTGACAATGACTATTCTTTTAAAGCTAAATGGAACATGGAGTAGCTTGGGTCCCCTGTGACTTCCTTGGCAATATCCAGGAAATCTGGTAACTCCAAGTCACCTTGTTTTATTGTGGTGTAAGTTTCGAGGATAAGGAGACCTTTACACCTGTGGTGCCAACGGGATAAATTGTTAAAATACATTCAATCAAATATCAAGCAGACAAGTCAGAATAAAGAAAAATATCAACAAGGGGATTAAAATTTGATCCAATACCAAATTCTTTTAACTAACAGCATAAGAATTAAATGGCAGACAGTAACGAGAATTATTATCCAACTGTGCTTCATGAGTACAAATGATGCATGAGACGAGTACAAATATCATGGCTTATTTTTACTCCAGAAATAACAATTTGGAGCGATGGATAATAAATCTACTATTAAACATTTTGTTGTGTTAAGTATTGCTGTTTTAGTCATTGTTTGTATTTTGACTTGCCCTACAAGCTTGTCAAAATATGGCACAACTCATAGAGTATTTAGCAACACTACACAACAAAATGTCTAATAACTTAAAAGATATAATTATTTACTTCATACATGAAATCTAAGAAGTGAAAGGATGATGGACAAGTAAGTTTTAGAGGTTGCTGCAAACCTAAAGTATTTAGGTACCTCTGAGAAGTCTGTGAAGACTTTTCTTGAGTACTGAATCAAACCTACCTTGGATGACAAGGTTCATTGTAGATATCAAGTTGAAAGTACTGGTTTCCCCATAAAAAGCATCTTCTAGTCTTATAAACAGATTGCCGAGTATGATCAACTTGAGAAAATAATATCTAAAGATAAATCAAATTTTTCATACCTATAAGTGAGATAGAACTATTTATACAAGGAGATCTTAAATTAAGCACATGTTAACACATAATGCACAAAAAATTTTGTAACTTGAAGTGCATACCTCATAATCTCTGGCAGATAAATTTGTTCTGACTTCCACGATTTGGCTGCTGACCTTGGTTTCTAGTCGTAATGTATGCATGTACGTAAAATGACCTACCGGTAAAAGAAAAATTATTTCAAATGAGAGATGGTAATTTTCAATGTTTTGATCATGTTTCCAGATAAGGAAGATTTTGCAGCTTTCAGTTACTAACTGATAGTCAGCCTTTGATCTTCTACAGAATGACAAAAATTAAAAAAAAAAAGGATATAACTTTGAATATCAATTTATGCACCTGAGTTTGAGAGCAGGTGTGATTTCATTCACTCTCCAGAACAGGTTGTTAGAAATTGGGAATGATGATAAAGCAGTGTGAAGCTATTAAACTGATAAAAGGTGGGAAAAACCTTCTCTTTTCTCTTAGGGAAATATGACATTCCCAAACAGTAAGATGCAAAAGTCCTCCCGAATTTTAAGTGTCACTTCCTTAAGGGGGTAGGGTCTCACTAAAGGATAAAAGAGAAGTTAGAGTTGGTGTGAAAATCTTCTCTGGTTTTGAAAATTTGGAAGGGGAGGGGGGTTCATAGGACAAACTTGCCATTCTGTCCTCTTCTTCTCAGACGAGCTTGTCTTTCTGGATTTGAAGTGGAAAGGTAGTTATGAACCACATCAAAGTCTTGAAACACAGGAAAAGCCTACTAGGAAATAAACAATAATCAAATCAAACTGAAATGACAAAAAAAAAAAAAAAATAGTAAATAAGTGCCACACGATGTAAGGCTTAATTAAAACCATAACAAAATTCTTGAACATGATTGGTTATCACCAGCCTGATTTGAGCACTAATAGTACAATGCATATCTCATGCCTGTAATTGGACAGTTAACATATCTTGCCTATGTAAGTAGACAGTAATTGTCATGCGTGCATGCTTTGTTGTGCACTTCACCAAGTTAACTGTTTTTTTTTTTAATGAAAAAATATGACAAATGTCTGGTTTCTTTCTCAATTTTAGTCATAATTTTCATTAATTGGTAACAGGACTTTGTGACATCCAGTTTTATCTGTAATCACATTTATGATAAACAATTTAGAATCCCACTTTGGGATTGTCTGATTTTGTTAATCACTCACATGATTACAGACCAAATTGGACTCCACATGACTCTATTACTATAAAAGATTACTAAATGACTACTTAAAGAAGTTTTTTAACAGTAGCACAACAACCCTTGGAGTAAATTCTCAAATTAAAAGGACATTACCTTGACATCTGGTAGAGATGTAACAAGGAACTTGCGTTTTACACTCTCTGGAGACAGACGATCTCCAGTATCTATACGCATTCTGAAACAGACAGCCTGCAAAATGGATTACTTATTGTTACATTTTTAACTCCAAAAATCAAAATCCTTTCTTAAAAACAGCTTATAACTGACCCTGGTTACATTTAGCGTCACCTCTCTCACACATAAATATGAAGTTATCAATCAAATTAGAGTTTAAATGTTTAATAATCTGTATTATAAATTTCTTACATCAATGGCCCGCCGCACTTTTTTACTGAAGTCTATATTGTTTTCAATCACGTCAACATATGGGTGACCGACCCAAGCCTGCAATGGAAAGTTTATTCTTGTTCAATTTTCGCCTCAGCTGTTATGGTTGAAGTAATCTTACCTCTACCCCAACCCTATTGAATTGAAAATCAATCCAGTTGGGTTTTTCATTTTCACTTGACCAGTTACAAGAAAAGTACTTTATTGTTCACAGTTGAAACAAGGGGATAAAAGATATTAACTTTTTTTTTCAAGCCTTTAGATGAAGTACTTCCTTCTTCATAGTTTGATCATCTAGTGGAGCAGTGTCCTGATGAGTACTTTGTTATTTTCTTTTAGCCCTTTACACTCCGACATCACCAGGCATTTTTACCACAATTGATAGTAATGATTGGCCAATTTGCCATTGTCAACAACAGTACAGACCTGCTCACGTGAATGCATCATGATCTCGATCATGCACTGAAAGGATTGTTTCATTTGATGTCAAAATCGTGGTAAAAAATGAACAAGGGTTTAGCGTGGTCTGTACTCTTATTAACAACAATATTCGTCATCACATTAGTTAAAAAATTTCTTGCAACATCTCGACCACTGTGATGATGAATCAAGTTGTTGATAAGAGTGCAGACTATGCTAAATCACTGTCAATTTGTTAAATTCTCTATACATTTCCTAAAGTGCAGCCAAGGAGAATTTGTTTCATAATCAAGAGCTTCTTTCTTTAGTGATCATTTTGTGATTCAGGTCTAATATTGTAAGGAGAAATTGAAAGCTGATCACCAATAGGCATCAAAGGGTTAAAATATGACTTATTCTCATGTCATTGTCAATGTAGATTTGTGCAAACTATTAAAAAAAAAATGTGAATTAGACCTGTTGGGTTAGTCTGTCCAATTTCCTGGCCTGTTCAATTGGTTCCTTTCGTGTGTTGTTGTTTGCTAATGTGTAAAAATCTTCTGCTCCTTGAGCTGCTGATACCTACAAAATATCACTGTTAATATTCATTTTGAATGTTGAATGTTTATGTACGTGATTACAAAATCTTACTGATTTCTATGTCCCAAAAGAATTGAGGTACCATGCAAGTCAGTTTGCAATTAATAATTGGATCCCCTAATGCCAAAAGTTTGTTGAGGTGTTTTGCATGGACAGGCATGAATCCTAACTCCAGCTAAGAAAATTGAATCTTCTATCAAACCAGAAAAAGTTTTGATCTGCAGAACAGTGTGTTTTAATAAATTCACTGTTTGATTGAGGTTGAATGTAAACAAAGATATGCAGATGATCATTCACCAATACTGTGCAGCTTACCAAATGAATCACTTGATCGTAGCGTGCATCTCGTAATGACACATTGTTCCAACCATTATTTTCAAGAAGTTTATCCCACTGCTCTGAACTCATATCTGGAAAGTTATAAGTAAACTATTAAGTTCATTTACCTGCCACAATTAAGGGTGTCATTTTTAATAGGGGTTTTCAAACCAAATTCAGTTTTAATATTGTTTTCTTCCAAGGGTGAGGGGTGTCCAGTTGGTGGACTTCACACTTTCTGCCACAATACTTTGTGGTTGCCAAGGTCTGGCTGTGAATTATCCTGTCTTTCTGTCACAGTAAAAGAATATCTTGTGTTACATTATGTATTACCTGGCATCGAACACCTCGTGTCAAAGCCTCTTTGAAAGAATAAAACACTCCATTTTGAACAAGCGTAGTTTAGTTGTGTAGAGTTCTTGTCTTCAATACTCTGTTTCTATGTTTCCCTGTTTTTGTTTTTTTTTTTTCACTGCTACATCTTGAAGGATTCAACAAGTCATGGTGACGAAGTACGACAAGCGAATCCTTGTACAGTATGCCTGTTTCAATCTGGAAGTCATTACTTATTATAACTGAAATAATTTATTTCTTAACTAAACAGTCATTTACTTTTTGGACAAGTTCCCACATGCTACTGAAGATCACCAAGTATCCTAACCCCTTCCCCCCTCAAGGTTCCTACTCCCCTCGAGCTCCCTCAGGAAAGAGATCTGCAAATATCATTAAGGAAGTTGACTTACATGATGAAGGATCCATAGCCCCTCGGTCACAAATCACTATTGTGTCCTTCTTGCTAGTGGAAGCAAGGTCAAAGAATGTCTGCTCCAGCTGTAGCAAAGTCCTCATTAAATTTTCCTGAAAATTGTACACTGGAAATAAACAATAGAAAATGTCATTATTCTTTCACTAGCAGTGCTTAGGGATCAAGTACTTAGGGGCCAGTCATTATTTATCACCTGGTTGGCAGGGGGATCAGAGGATTTTTTTTTGGGGGGGGGAGGAAGATCTCATGGTTCCCAGGGGAAATGGAGAGGGGTCAGTTGTTACTAAAATAATATAAAGGGTGGATTGTCGAAAATTGACTGCCAATAAGGGAGATTGCTAGAACTCTACAGAGCCTTGGTGAAGGGTGGAATAGGTTAAATTAATAACAGTGACGGCCCACCTAGTTCATTATTAGCACAATTCTACTGTGACTAATCCAGATGATTGTAAGCAAAGTTTTATATTCATTTCCCACCTTCTTGCTCACTAAGATCTGGAAACTTCACACCACCACTGTCCAAAACAAAATGTATATGTATAAAAATATATATAAATTAAAAAAATTAAGACAATGTATTTCTAAGGCAATCTGATCCCTGCATTTCTAAATTTAAAGTATAATCAAAATATAGAGTATTTCTAACAGAGTCTGATCTTGAAAATTTTAGATTTTATCTAAAAAAGTGTTCCATCTTAAAAAAAAAAAATTAAAGTTGCTGATAGTTTGTTTTCAATAAATTTTACCCCAGCAATATAGTGGCTGCTTCAGGAACTCTGTATACCTGGCAATAAAACAAAAGTTTTCAAGGTTAGAAAATTATTCTGACATAAATTTTTAACATAAATAATTGCTGGTATATATTTACCAAAGGATTGATGATTTTTTGTTTTTGCAAAGGCAAGTTGGAGCACAACCACGTTGAAGCTTGGTCACTGATAAGTGTATTCAAGGTAGAAAAAAAAATGCTAGAAAACAGATGGATCCACCCAATTTATGTTACTTAAAAGTAAATGGTTGACTTATATCACTTCTTTACTCATTCCCTATAAAATTAAAAAATATAGGTTAAATGTTATCAGTGGTAATTGCAAAGTGAAAGTTGTTCTCAAATGTGTTGCCCAGTTTTGTTATAGGCTAAAAGTACTTCAATAACACCCAAGGCCCAATCTTTTAGCTAGCCTGACAGACATGTTTCAACCGTGCAAAAGGTTTTATTGGAGACCTGCAGATGAATGAGGCATTAAACCAAAAAATAATAAAATGATGGTGATAATCTATCATGATGTCACAAAAGGACTGATTCTTGTTTAACTTGCCATTCACAGCTTGAAAAATTGTAAAACTGCTAATGGTGGTAACCCAATAACTATATATTGCAAGTGTTTACTCTTTTTTTAAATAGATTTTTTCAGATATGAAAAAATGCAGTGTCACGAGCATTAATATTTTGGAAGAACTGAAATTTGAGGCTTTTTTATGTTGATGAAATTTGGTGACAACACCAGTCCCTGGAGGAAAGGATCAAAATTTGGACTAAGTGAAAAGATCACTACCTGATGATTCTCGAAAACTGTTTCGGCAAAGACTCCTGACAAATTTCCTTAAAGATACCAATTTATTCCCTTCCGGGTATAAAATATCCTCACCTTCCATCCAAGATTTTCAAAGAAAGTTGACATCATTGCTTGAACAGTTGTTTTCCCTGCACAGGGACCTTTAAAAGAATCACACAAGCAGAAAAAATATCACCTCTTTCTTCTCATTGCCATGCATTTCTGATATATTCAGTTTGGTGAGATGATTTCCCTATGTCGATTTTGAAAAAAGTGAAAGAGTGCGATAATTTATGCACAAACAACAGTGGCACCGGATTAAATCTTGCCCGATGCTGTGCGTGGCAATGAAAGAGAAAAATTCTTAAAAATTCAGGCATAACGCAAACTACAGCTCTTTATAGTAAAGAAAAGGGAAAAGATCTCAGTTTTGTTGAATGTAATTAGTTTATCGAAGTACTCCCCACGTTAGATAACAATTTTTTATCACTCGTGGAACATAGCCTCAAATTGACAACCCAAGAGTCCTTAAAGCTCCTAAACGGTTATTTTAGCATAATATTTGAACAAACCTCCAGTCAAAGCAACTTTATAAACCCTTCTCTCTTTTTTATCGCCGTCCAAATCATTAACATGACTCCCATTCTGAGTCGCTGGGTTCATGGTAACTATTTCTTTCGATTAGATATTTGGTTAATACTCAGCTGTCCACCTCCTCAGAAACACAGTCTTCCAGATCTTCAAAAACAATGTCAAGATGAGGACGCGGAAAGGTTTCAAAAACACAATTTCAAAGAGAACCGGAAGAAACCGACGAAAAAGGTCGATATAAAGGAAGAGACCTGACAATACAAATCGTCTCAGGAGGGGTCAGGACATCTCAGGACATGACAAAACACGCGGGAAATTAAAGCGGCTCGGGTCAGCGGTCATACGTAATAAACATAAAAAATTCAAAACAACGATTACCAGGTGGGGGGTACTCCTTGAAGATTTTCCAAGTTTTTGGTATTCAAATGGATGAAAAGGCTGAGGATATCGACCCAGTTCGAGCTGGTAAAGACTCAATCGAGGTAGAGATCGTCAGCGATGAAGAATTTCAAATGCTGGATGAAGCTATTCAGAACGCTATGATGCGGATTGCCCAGCAGGAAGGTTGGCAAAGCCTTTTTAACTTCCCGAGACTGGCGCCAAAATCTCGTAGGATTAATTGCCCTTCTTTCTCTTTTTCCTACTCGCTGAGAGTTTTTAATTTCTAACAGCCCCTTTTCCCTCTTCTTGGGAAAGTTTATTTCCAAAGAGATTAGGAGGGGGGGCTAACCAGAGATGTTTGGTATACATCTTGCAGAGCAACTTTTACAGCCTTCCGGGAATCTTTTAACCGCCTGATGATTTTCCTTCGTTATCAAAAACTGCCCCAAATTTAACCTTTTCACTCCCTGGATGTTCTTCCCCTTGCAATTTTAAAGCAGCAGTAAGGAGACAGGTAATGAGGATATCAAATAAATCAACTCAGGAAATCGATTTAACACTAAACTCTCAGAACAGTTAAATTTTTTTTTTATCACAATGCATTCACAAACCAAACTTCTTTCATTAGCAAGATCTTAAAAGTAATCCTCCTTGCTGTGATGGATAATAGTCAAAATAATTCTATCATGGTTTCTAATTTCATTTTATCAAATTTAGAAACCAAAAGTACTGAACACGGAGAAGACATCACTTGGTCTTCGATTAGAAAGGCTTCAACTCCTCTTGAAAAGTTCAAAGGTGGTCGCGGTTATTTAAGTGTGACTGATTTGACTGCTCAGTTTTGGTGTGAACAGCAAATGGAATACAGCTTCTCAGCACCAGAACTTAAACTAGAATCTGAGCCGATGAAGATGGGAAAACTCATTCATCTTGAAAGAGGTACTGTGTAGCCTTGCAACAGGATATTGATAAAGAAGTTGGGTGGCCTTAGCCAGGGTCAAGGGGCGGGGCAGGGGGGTAAATGGTGTATGTGATTGAGAGTGGAATGGGGGGAATATTTCCCTTTCCAACAAAGAAATATAACAACAAGTTAATTAGTAAAAACAATAACAATCATTAGACAAGTTTCTGTTGTTGAAAAAATGCATCTCAATTTGCATCAAGCCTGGAAATGGCAGAATCCTTACACCCCTTGGTATCTGATACCTAAACTTGCTGACAGGACTTGCAAAATACTAAAACATTGATTAATTACATTGATTGATTATTAAATTGTTTTCATACTTTCACTAAACAGAACTGGAATTATATGACCTTGTAGAGATCAAAGTAGAGTCTAAAGAAGACAACTGGGCAACCAGATTTTTGGACTGTCTTTGTAAAATTTCTTTACTGGAAGCACAACAGACAGTGCGAGAACTTCCAGTTTTTGGATGGCCTTTTAACATGGGAGTGTTTGTTTATGGCATCATTGATGAAGTACATTACAATGAGATGGGGCAGTTAGAACTGTTAGAGCTGAAAACAAGGACAAGGAAAAGCTTACCTTCCAAGGCACAACAAAGCCAGGCATCCTTGCAAGCAATGATCTACAGCATTATGTTTAATGACTTGCTCTTTGGAAAGGTCGATGCTTCAATGCTTTTATCACAACTTCAACTCAAAGGAGATGCCATCCTTTCAGAAGATGTTTCACAATATGCAAGACAATGTGGAGTTCAGTGCAACAGACTCATCCAAATTATCAATCTTATGTTAAAACGATTCCAACAATGTGACATAACAAAGTTAAATTCAATAGCAGTAGAGTATTGCATGCAAGAAACCTGCCAAGTTATTGGTAGAACTAGCATGGATTTAGACACAGAATGGACACAGTCACAGCTTGTTAAAATGCTGCCATATTGGAAAGGAGAAAGGGGCACTGTTGGTGTGGAAATAGAAGAAGCCTGGAAGTGCAGTAGATGTGAATTTGCAGACATTTGTGAGTGGAGAATTAAAAAAGACAAAGAGTACAGAACAAAATCAGATTGAAGGAATTACCAGCTTCAAAATTCTGACACCCCATAGCTAGTAAAAGTATGCTAAATTCACTTCCTGATTTGTTTAGAGGGAGAACACAGTGTGATAACAAGAACAGATCACAATTGCGACACAATTCGAAGTGATGCATACTGGTTTCCTAACTGTTTAATTTATTTTTACTCTTCTCCTAATTTTGCATCTTTCTTTACTTTACTTGAGGATGTAGCTAAAGTTTTTAACAAGCGGAAATCTAGCAATGATAGGCGGGTACTTGAGCCGAAGGCCCACCCTAGTGCGCCTTTGGCACGCTATACCTAGGGGAGTCTAGGGGCATGCCCCCCCTGGGAAATTTTGAAAATGCATACTCTTGGAGATGCATTTTCCTTGATTTTGGGAGCAAAATCAAGGGCATTCATCATTTCCCATACATGAATTACAAATACCGCTGGCCATTGAGCCTGCAAAATGGACGATGCTGATGTGGAAAGACTTGTTTCCATGTCTCAAAGTGCCCTTGGACGCGAGGTGCCTGGGAATGAAATTAAATCACTGGAATATAATTAGCTCCGAACCACTGACGATTTTCGACTGCGAACGTTCCCTGTTCTTTGCTGTGCACAAATTTTAAGTCTACTTCGTGTGTGTTTTGAGTCAAGAGAAAACATCTGGCTTAGTAAATATCACATCCAGCATTGTTATGTCGCTTAAGGTTTATTTTCGCTGATAAAAAAAGAAATCAAAGACACTGAACCTTAAGGGCAATTTCAGCTATGGAAACGAGTAGCTACACAACGAGTTTGCTTTGTTTCCATAGCTTAAACCACCCTTCTGCCCTTCCAAAATCGGTTTCCGGTTCCGGTATTGGAAAAATATTTTGCGTTTTTCTCAAATTCACCAGAAAAGAATAATCTGATGTCTTGGTATCTTTAGTGGAGTATATTTGGGCAATGGCAGGCGATCCAGATGTTGCATCTCATTTATCGCAAATTTTCGATGTACATTTATCCAGCGATTGAGAGTATCGGTAAGTCTGACGGTGCAAATAAGCCAAATTCTGTGTTATTCTCCAATCTATTTACTATAAAAGCGGACCAACTAAATCCTCAGTTGGTCTAGTTCTATAAAGGCGCTGGGAGAATGAACAAGACAATACATCACCAATCAATCTGTTATATTTTAATTTTCTTTTAGAAAAAAAGATATATTTTAAGATGAATGGCTAGTTTTTTTATTACAGTGGAAGCGCCCACCCCCCCCTCCCCTCTGTATTACTCCCCTTCAAATAAACCCCCCATCAATGAGGTCTGAAATTCCATAAGCCCCAGTGGGCTTAACAGACCTTGTATAGTTTATGTTTCAACAAACTCTCTGATATGATCTTTACAAGACTGGATTATAATTCACATTGTGAGGGATAAGAATACCCATTGACAAAATCGCTTGTTGGGAGACACTAAATTATAGTTCTGTGTTAGACCCATCAGCTACTACACACAAAGTCATGTGGGAAGACCAAAAATTGAAATTTGATGCCATACCATATTTTGCTTTGGGGCAAAAAAATTTTGACTGTTGAAATGGAAAAGACAGGAAGAAAGCTTGTAAACAAAAGAGAAAAGAAATGAAACTGCAGGAGGGGTATGGGTTACTCAGTAATCATTAATCATGATAAAATTTCTCACAAATTTTTCAATTTTTTTTCTGGGGACGGGGTGATAAACAACACCCATCTTCATTTAAACAGAAATAAAACAAGAAATAATCACTGACAAGTGAATAGTATGTGAATACTTCATTCAAGTGTCATTTGTTCATTCATATGTCATTGGTTGTAAGTTGTACTTGTGCAAGGAACACTAAAATCCAAAAAGGGATATTTAAAAATAATTTAAAACACTTATTTTGTGGTACTAAGAGTAAAAAAGTTAAAAAAAGCGAAGAACTGGAGTTAACATATCAATACATCTCAAGTAGAAAATTCAGAGCAAAGTGGAACTCCTCAAAGTGCTACTTTGGAAATTGCTTCATTCTATATATAGAGGGTTTGGTATGTCAAAGTTCTGATCAAAACCTCTTGTATGGTCTGGCTGGAGGATATTTAAACAATAGAGAGTTTTTTGTCGAGGAACTATTGGCTGATAGTTGCCCCGCAGAAATTTGACCTTATTAAAACAAATATTCCAGATTTAAGAATATCAAATTTCCAAGTGGCAACTATCAGACTGATAGTTCCAAAACATAAACACTCTATTGTATTTGCTGCCACGCGCCAGATCAATCATACTTCCTCCCATACTCCTCCTACTGGTGACGTCTATGTACAATGTCACCACTGCAATGACTGGTGGCACCTTAAGTCTGTTAACATACCACCATGGGCTGTAGAATCTAACAAGTCATGGAAATGCAAAACCTGCAATAAAATAAAGCTTTGAAAATGGAAGCTGAACATTCCACTTCTATTTAAGTCAAGTCTTCCGGTTACTATAGAACTACTCTAATTTGACTTTCAAAAACTTTTATTATAGGCTTCCTGAGAGAGTGTTCAGTCAGCAAAGAAATGATAGGCACAAGTTGTGCTGTTAGTGACAAAGCATTTTTTTTCATAGTATTTTTATACACTTTGTATCCTTGTATTTTTATATTTATAGATTTCCTGTCCAAATTGTGATTATAATCACTATGTTAATTTAGCATGCAGGTCCACATCAGGACTTACTGTCTTGCCTATTTTAGTAACCTGCCTTACCAAATAAACTTGTTGTTGTTTGCAGCTTGGACTTCAAGATTTCCGATGAGAAACAGACACGCAAATGCTTTTGGAATCTAGAATAAACTAGTGGTAGCCACAACTTCTTTTCAGAGGTAACTGTTATGTAATACACGACATTTCAAGATTGGTAAACGTAGCTGGACTTGCTGGATAAACGTACATCAAAAATTTCTGATAAATGAGATGCAACATCTGCATTGCCTGCCATTGCCCAAATATACTCCACTAAAGAAACTAAGAATTTGAGAAAGAGCGCAAAATATTTTCCAATACTGGAACTGGAAACCAATTTTGGGATGGCACAAGGGCGGTTTGAGCTATGGAAACAAAGCAAATCCGTCGTACAGCTACTCGTTTCCATAGCTGAAACCCCAGGGGGGTACTCCCTTATAAGGGCCTAATGGGGATGTGCGGCCAGCCAGGGTATGTTTTTCGAGGTTTTTGTCTTAAACAGGGTATCGAATTTATAATTTTTTGTCTTAAACAGGATATCTTTTCTTGGAAGATAAACAGCAAAATTTTCACAAGCTCTAATTTTAATTAATATTGAATTCTGTTGAGTTTGGCATTGGTACCAGGCACATTAAATGTCTTAAACAGGGTCAGGGTATGAGGGGCTGCGCCACACCTCCCCACCCAGGAATATATTGAGTACCCCCGGGGCTGAAACCACCCTTGAGGTTTAGTGTCTGATTCCTTTTTTTATTGGCGAAAATAAACCTCAAGCGACAGAACTATGCTGCATGTGACTAAGCCAGAAAAACACAGACTTAAAATTTGTTCACAGCAAGATCTGGGAACGTTAGGTTCGAAGTCGTAAATCATCGGTAGTTTGGCGCTAATTATATTCCAGTGATTTAATTTCATTCCCAGGCACCTTGCGTCCAAGGGCACTTTGAGATCTGGAAACAAGTCTTTACTATCTGTATATATCGTCGCACTAAATGGAGTGTTTACAATCCTTTCAGTTCAGGTAAGACAGCAATGAAGATGTAAACAAACGAAATAAATAACAATCTTCCGACATCACTTACATGTAAAAACATTTTTGAGAAAGAAGTAGTGCTTTACAGCCGGAAAAATCGCGTTCACAGCCGGGTAATTTTCCTGGCTTCCGGCTATTATCTACATCCCTGCAATTGCGACACAGTATTTAAAGTGATGCATACTTGTTTCACAACTGTTTAATTTATTTTTACTCTTCTCCTAATTCTGCTTCTTTCTTTACTTTTCCTATCAACAGCCTTAATTTTGAATTCAAATTTATTTCAAATAAAATGTAATCAATCAATATTTCATTAATAATTTTTTTAGCATTCTTATAAAATTATTAAATCTCCTAGTGAGTATCTATGTTAATTAATCCTAGAACTCTCAAGATCTGATTGTTAATTCTCCCCTCTAGCTGCTATACATTTCCCTGTAAATTAGTTGTTAGAATTTGGTGCTAGATCATGCCATCAACTTCTACCTGATAAGTTTGAGTATTCTCATTATCTGTTTGCAGAAT